CCGATCTGGCTGAGTCGCGGACTAGGTCGCTCTCATTAAGACGTTCGCGGCACTGCTTCGTTATTCGCACAACAGACTATCAGCCGATCGCCTCCAGGATAAAACAACCACTCTTTTGATTTACTCAGCGGTTTTGTGCGAAAAACCGGAGCTCTTTGAATCTCACTCTCTCTCATGTTTCTGCTCTCTGATTGTGTGTTTAGAGGGTCTGGGAAGTGCTCTATTCATAGGAGCAAAACCCTAGAATATTCCCTCTTTCGTGGGGAATAAGTCACACTGAATTAGAAAGATAATTACCCCCATAATTAAAATGTGTTCTATTAAGATAATTAAATCTAATTATCTTCATAATATTCCTTTTATTAATTATCCTTCTTATTTTCCTATATGGAAATATACAGGATAATTAACTTGGAATTTCATTTATAGCTTTTCAAAGCTATTCATCCCAACATTGACTCGATCGAGTTTAGACTAATTACTGATGTATGATGCTTTTGGGGCCTCCAATGTCCATAACAATATTCATAGTACCCAATCCATACAAGTTACAGGTTAGATAATACTAAAAATTACGAAATAGGGTAGATATATAAATTTGAATATGAAGATTTAGGAGGGAAACAAAAGTTTTTGAATCTGTGAGTGGTAATTCAGAGAAACAAGAGAGTAAAATATTGTTTGGAGATGAAAAGGCACGTGCATCGGTGGAGAGGAGTAGCAAGCTAAGGAGGAGAAGCCTAGCCCTCCGGTTCCGGCGGAGGAGGAGGACGACTTTCTGGCCGGTGGATAGTGAAGACTTCTAATTATTCTTGGAAACACCAACAAAAAGAGAATTGTGCACACTATCTTAATAGAAGACACTAGACTGTCAGGTAGTGTCTCATCACTCAGAATGAAAATTCAAAAATTCCGTTAAATAATAGTACACACACCCATAATCTTGTTTCGGTGATTTAATTATGGGGGTCGACGATTAGCATGTATTTGATAATAACTCAGACTATTATAGATATATCAGGACGAAGCATGCTTGGGATGCAAGAGGATAGCGAGAAGTGATTACTAACTATGTTTGGCAATCAGGGGGAGCAATTTCGAGGGTGAAACGTGATTATGGGGTTCTCTTTTTTCAAAACGAAAATGTAATGAAAAATATTTTGTGATCGGGTATGAGAAATTTGACGGGTTCATTTGCTATTTCTAGTTTAAATTGAAAAATTGGATCATAATATGAAGTAAAGTTATCTCAGAATGACTTGTAGTATAAAGATGTAGAACTCGATTTGTTATCCATAGATCGACCACAAATGGCCTAGCTATGACACTATATATCATACCAACTCCATACTTTATCATTTGACTGAGAAATTCAGTTATGTTGTAGAAAGAAACTATGGGCTTTTTCAATGATTAAATTGGATGAGACGATTTGGCTTAATCGCCTCAAAATGAAGCAATTAGGTCAAATAGTCTTGTTTATCAATATAAAATGAGCTCGTTTTGCATCATTTTGAATTGACATGAAATGGACAAATATCGTGAAGCATGTGTTTTAGTGAAAAAATTGTGAGACAATTTGATCAAATTGTCTTATTTCACAATTCCGCCATCTAAACGATCCCAATTATTTGTATTTTTTTTTTGCACGTGACATTGATTTATAGAGTTTAGGATAGTATATTTTTTCTTCTTATTAAACAGTGTAGTACATAATGCCTACACGTTTATCTAACAACTAAAACTACAAGCTTCGAACTGAGGGTGGTCTGTTTGGGTTTCATATGGATGAAGGTGGCAGTGTTGGGGAGATTACTCATCTATTGTTTGCTGATGACTCCCTCATTTTCTGTGATTCTTCTGCTGACCAAGTCATCAACATCCTGGCTACCTTGGTGTGCTTTCAGACTGTTACGGGCCTCAAGATCAACCTCGACAAGTCTATGATGTTCACTGTCGATGTCCCTGAACCTAGTTTTTTTGCCACAATCTTCGGATGCAAATGGATCAGCGAGCCCTCCAAATACCTCGGTTTACCTCTAGGTGATCTTCCTAATGCTGTCTCTAGCTATTTGGAATCTAGTAATGTGTAACTACCAAAGTCGCTTGCAAGGATGAAAGAGCAAGTTGTTATCTTTCGGAGCACGCATTACTTTAAATTGCACCACCATAAATAGCTTATCAGTTTATCACTTCTCCTTGCTGAAAGCGCCTAGGACTGTTATTAACGATATGGAAATGATCCAAAGAAGATTCCTTTGTTGTGGAACGAATGGTGACTCCAAAAACCACTTAGTTCGCTGGGACCTTTGCAAAGCTCCAAAACATAAGGGTGGATTGGGTGTAATTGATCTTGAAAGTTTCAACAATGCATTACTTGGTAAATGACTGTGGAGATATGCTACTGAAAGAGACAGTTGGTGACGGCAACTCATCAACACGAATGATACGCTACGACACAACACCAAACTGCGACCAAGTGTAATCGCAGTCCGGGAATGCAGTAAAGTGGCAAGTCTAATTATCAACCCGGGGTCTAGATCTACTGCCTACTTCGTGAGTATCTATTATCTAGCCAACTAAGTCGATTGGTTGTTGTTTTAACTAAAAGCATTAAGAATGTAGGAAATGATTCGGTTTTCTGAAGCAAAGGAAGAGTCACTCGGGAATGAGTCCCCCTAGCTCCTTAGTTAGGTCTCAGTTGTAATTACCCTGGGTTGATTTACTGTTGATTAAACTGCGGAAGATCCGACAGTAGCTTGGAATCTCTTAAGCTGACCAAGCCCTCTCAGTCTAACTTCCCGGCAGACGACTAGTCTTCACCGGGATAGAAAGCTGAAGCAATAAGCACAAAACTCCATTACTGGAATTGGATTCCAGTACAAAGCAGTAGACTGACTAACTCTCGTATAGCCAATCTACTACTACCGAATGATGAAGCTCTAACAACCTAATCAGATCCTATCTATCTCAGGTTGCAGCAGAAATCAAGAAAAGCTGATCAGACTTCAATCAATTCAATGAATCATGCATCATTCGATTAAGACCAAACAGTATAGCAATCCCAAGTCATTACAATCATGATCCCTAATACATGGAACTAGGGTTCTTCATACCCAAGTGAGAGAAGGGTTCTACTCCATAGAGAGAGAGAGAGAAAAACAGAATACAAAGCAGTCATACTCATAACAATTGGAAGAATCTGCTCTGGGATGATGATTTTCACTCCTATGATCTCCTCCAAGCTCGATTTGATGAAACCCAGCTCCAAGATTGCTTCTAGGATGTGTTCTTCTCACTTTCTCTCTCTAGGGCTCTGTTTTTGCTCTGAAAAGTCAATCCCCTCACTTGTGGCTCGAAATTGGGTTAAAACCTAGAATTCCCGACTCACACGGGCAGCAGGCCACACGGTCGTGTGGCTTACCCAGTTGCCCGTGTGAGTGTCAAAATGCGGTGTTTCGAATAAATGGACTTCAGGCTACCTACACGACCAGGGCACACGGCCGTGTAGAATCTCCAGTATGCCCGTGTGAAGCCTCGGCAAATCCCACACAGCCACATTGGTTTCTTACACGACCGTGTGAGTTTTAGGAGTGCCCGTGTGGCTTCCTCAGCGTCTCGCCACACGTCCGATCTTCGTCCAATCGACACCGAACTCGCTCCCAAACCTTCATTCACGTACTAGGACCTGAAATATCACAAACAAGAACAACCTAGCATGAAATCGATCTAAACACGAGAATCAACATCTCAAACGGTGTAAGATTAGGAATAAAAACATTTGCAATTAACGGTCTATCAAACTCCCCCACACTTAACTGTTTGCTTGTCCCCAAGCAAACCTAGTCAGACACAAGGTAAGCTCACATATTTCAATCATACCAACATTGGGGACAAATCATTTAGGCACATTTGAGTGCAGCAAAATCGTGTAAAGGAGGAGTCTCCCTTCTGTTCATCAGCCAACATAGACTTGACTCAACCACTTACTCAAGACAGTCACCTCATGCACAAAACTCAAGATATCAGAGTAGAGACCGAGCAATCTAGGTCCTCACCGGGGTACAAGAGTGTAGAGAATATGAGAAAATGAATCGCTCACTCTCGACTAGTGGGGTCAAGGCAATTTGATGCGAAAAATGCGCATGCTTATTCTCTCAATCCCTAATGTCTATTCGCCATGATGACAGCCTCTAAATTTTAGAGTTCACATAAGGGATGTCACCACTAACTAATCTAGAGGTCTTAGACACAGGTTCAAATGACTGACTAGGGTCTTGGACATGGGGAAAAGGCCTTTTAGGTGGTGGAAGTATTAATAACACAAGGTTCCACAATTCCAAACCCAACACATTCACATCCATTCAAACCACTTATTTTCTTTCTGCCATTCTGCATTACTCAGATTCTCTAGAGCACAAGAGCGAAGGAGGTCACATAAATGTTAGTATTTCCAAGCCAGACTGCTAAGGAACACTACTTAATGGGTACTATTCAGGTTTTTGTGGTGGTGGCTCTCTTTTGCTTTCATTTTTTGCTTTGTTTTTCTTTCATTTTTTTTCATTTCTTAAGAGAACCACCACTTCTGCACATTTTTCAAACACCTGCCCAATTTTTAAGCACTACCTCCAACCCTCACATTATATTTAGCAGAAACAGCAGAGAACATGTAAAAACCACTCTGTGGAACCTTCTAAGAGATGCAAAAGGGTGATTTTTCATTGTAGACCGAAAGAAAGGATAACACACGGCTCAAAGGGGCTGACTAGGGGGTATGACACACCAGGATAGTCAATTTGGTCGTGGGCTAATCCTATGCCCCCATCATCTTAGCTAATGACAACGTGAATGCTACACATCATGGAAGAGGGAACTATCGCACAAGAAAGAAACGAGCAGGCTCAAATCTCACATGGCTACCTATATGCTCTATCTCCCATTCGGATCCCCTGAACTAGATGCATAAACGAATGTCAAGAAAAAGTAATCCATCCAAGTCACAGTTGGTAAGCAATTAATTGAAAAACTGACCCCCTACACGACTCTACTGCACGTCTCAGTCATCATTATAGGTTGCCCTAGTCACAATCCAGTTGTCATGCATTAATCAGAAAACCATTCAATTCACCAATCAAAACACAGTGCCAATATGATCAAACAGCCGTAGTTGGAGCCCTCAAATCTTGAGATTTGGATAGCGGACTAGGCTCCACGCACACGTATATAGATTCCAACCGATACAAAGCACCCTCCCCCCCCCCCCACACACACACTTAAGCACCACATTGCCCTCAATGGAGCATAGGGAGAGAAGGGGAACGATGTTACTGGATTGAAATACTGCGGGAGACTGGAAGTGGACTAGTCAGCGGGGAACATATGGAACGAACGGACAGTTTTGCACGAAGGGAATAACAAGAACACACTACCACAGAACCCAGGTGAAGAAGATGGTCTGCCTGACGCATGGACTGGATGAAATACATCGCTCTCCTGGTGATGGTGCTGGAACTCTCCCCGGCCGGAGTGTAGGACTTCGCCAGTAAGTGGTGAAGAATGCGGCTATCGAGCTGCAGGGTGCTGACCTTCGTCCGTCCTGCAATGAAGGGACGCTGGCCGGGCTGAGCGAGGCGGGTGTACAGCGTCTTGAAGTTTACCCCCACCGGATCGCTGAGCTCGATGACGTATTCCCTGTCATCGGCCAGGCCGAGCTCGAGAGTGGTCGCCAAGTTGTGGTAGCTCATGGAGCGGGGCGCACCGCCGAGAAAAAACTTGACGGCTTCATCATCTACCCAATCCTCTGTCCCCTCGTGCTTGAAGATCGTATAGAACTCCAGCATGAGCTCGTGTTAAACTTTCTCGCGAACGGGTAGCAGACGGCGCCAAGGCCGGGTTGGTGACAATGGCGGAGAAGTGGTCGTAGCAGTTCAGCTTCTCAAACTCCCGCCTGGACCGGCAATGATGCTGCCCAAACGCGCAGGCCAGGACGCGCTTAAACCGATCTTGGTGGGGGCCCTCTTCAAATCCCTGACAAACGGGTGCTTGAGATCGGGTTTCGTCATGGTCCTGCAAAAGAACAACCCAAAGTGGAGCCAAAAGAGCCATAGAAAAGATTAATCACACCCCACACTTGAAAGCAGAAAACAGCCGAACCATGGTTTCATCCATAGTTCGGGGGTCAATAAATCGATCAAACAAGCATAATCTGGGTGGGGGTGCACATCCATCATAAAGTAGGCAACTTAAGCTTCACATCCATAGTAAATACACCCTCAAAGCACATCATTAAGGGCCCCAACCGGCTCCCACAAAATGGTATGAAAAACAGGCATTTCATCGAACACCTTGTGTGTATTATTAAGTTAAGCATAAAATTGACAAATTCATAGCACACAAGTGCTCAATCAAGCAAGAGGGACATTTCCCAACATCATTCACAGATAAACCAAGCCTTCCCCTCAATCAATTGCACACAAATCACACAACACAAAGTTGTTCTCTAAACATACACCTTAACACCCAATTCTCCACAATTCACAAGGTTAAGGGCAAAATCAAACCTGGAGACACAAGTAGAGGTGTAGGGGATGATGAGGCAAAGGCAATGGAAGCGACGAAAATCTCAAAATATGCTCGGAAATTGCTCGTCGAAGCCTCGCCGGAATTCGCCTCCGGCGACTCAAAATCAGTCCAAATCGCCTCAAAATTGAGGGATAGGCTGAAAATGGGGAGGAAAGGCTAGGTCGGGTGGTGGTTTGGTGAAAAACCGACCAAAAATGGCCGAAAATTGCCCAAAAGATTTGAAAATCGCGGTTTTCAAGCGAGGGTGAGAGGATTCCGGCGAGGGGAGGTGTGTTTTCTGACCACGCGGCTGTGTCGGCCAAATATATAGGCGCTTGCTCGGCCACACGGGCACTCTCACACGGCAGTGTGAGGTGCAATAGCGCCCGTGTGGGTCAACACGGCATGGCCGAGGATTTTCACACGGCCGTGTGATAAAACATTTCTGGCCATGTGAAAATTGCCGAGCCTTCACACGGCCAAGGGCCAAAACCACACGGCCATGTGAGGGACCCCTCCTGCCCGTGTGAATTGTCCAGGGCTTCCACATGGCCAAAACCCAATTCCACACGGCCGTGTGACTTTTAGGGCTGGCTGTGTGGGCTGCCAGAAATCCGAATTTGACCTGTTTCACTCAAAATCAACATACGACTCTTGGACAACACCTCAAGACTAAAAAACACAAAAAAATCAAAAGGAAAAAGGTAAGAAAATGCAAACCTAGGTGGGGTTGCCTCCCCACAAGTGCTTCTTTACCATCTTTTAGCTGGACGCCAGTAGGTGGATGCTCAAAGAGGTGTAGGAGCGGGTGCCTTCAAGAGCGGATCCACATCGCTCTTGAGGTACAGTTTCAGATGGTGGCCATGCACACGCTGGGTGTGACCACCAGCACTTGTCAACTTGACTTGGCCATCCGGAAAGATGCAAGCGAGTGAATACTTGGATGGCCAAGGCGGTCGAGGCTCAGGAGGCGGGACCAGCTCATCGTGGTCTCCGGTTTTCTTGTGACCAGGCTTAGCTACCTGCAGCTTCGGCCGCCACTCCTCCCTGATCTTTTCCTTTGGTAACGGCGTGGACGGGAATGGCGGCGAAGTTATGGGAGGGGAATCCTGCAAGATAGGAAGCATAGACGGATACACGACAGACTCGTGCTCCCGGTGAGAAACAACATGCAATAGTGATGAAGCATGAAGAGTATTAGCAATGGAAAACGTTATTTGCTCCTCGCCATCCCTCAAGACTAAGGTCCCATCATGCACATCTATAAGGGCCTTGGAGATGGCCAGGAAAGGCCTTCCGAGTATAAGGGGCAATTCTGTGTCTTCATTGATGTCCAGGACAACAAAATCCACAGGATAAAAGAATCTGCCAACCTTAACCAGAAGGTCTTCCACTATGCCCCTAGGATGAATTATAGATCGGTCAGCTAATTGAACACTCATCCTTGTTGCATTTGGTTCACCCAAGCCTAGTTTCTTGAACAATTTATACGGCATCACATTAATACTAGCACCTAGATCTGCCAAGGACCTCTCTATATGCAATTTACCTATAGAGCACGGGATAGTGAAACTACCTGGGTCTTTCTGCTTCCGCGGAAGCTTGTTCTGCAGAATGGCCGAGCACTTCTCACTGAGCTCCACAGTGGCCAGCTCGCTCAGCCTCCGCTTCTTCGAGAGAAGCCCCTTCATGAACTTCGCATACTTAGGCATCTAAGCTAGTGCCTCCATGAAGGGTATTTGAACATGTAGCTTCCTAAGCATAGACGAGAAGTTGCCAAACTCTGCCTCTAGCCTGTCTTTGTGAATCCTGGTGGGAAAAGGGAGCTTAGGCTTATATTCAGCCACTACAGGTTGTGGCTTTAGAGCTTGATCCTCTGGCTCCTTTTCCATCACCAGGTCTTCTTCCGGCTCAGGGGTGATATGGGTCACCTTCTTGGCACTCTTCTGCGGTGCATCCGCAGTCACAGTCCCACTTCGCAGCATAATGGCGTCCAACCCCTCCTTATGATCTCTAGGATTCGGTAGGGGTTGGCCAGGAAGTGAGCCAGCCGTTCTAGAAGCTAGGGCATCTGCCAGGTGCCCGATCTTGGTGTCCATATCCTGCAGGAGTGCCTGCTGGTTTCTCTGACCAGCTTCAATCTCCATGAATTTATCTGCAGCCACTTCCATGAATTGCTCCAATTTGTTGAACTTTTGGGTACTAGTGCTCACCAAGGTAGTCACAAGATCCCTCAGTTCTGACACGGGATCGCCCGGTGCTGGGACTGATGGAGGTGCACCAGGTTGCTGGTACTGCTACTACGGGGGCTGTTGAAAAGCCTGCCCTTGTCTGGGCTGATAGAGTGGCTGTTGTTGCTGCATCTGGCCTGGGCGAGGGTGGTATGGCTGCCTCTAGTTCGAAAAACTAGTTGCAGGAGCTTGGAAGCCAGGTGGCTTCGGATTGCTGTTGCCACTCCACGAGAAATTTGGATGCTGGCGCCATCCCTCATTGTAAGTGTTACTATATGGGTCGTTGCGCCGGACATTGTTGATGAAGTTCACCTGCTCCTGGGGTGTACTAGACACACGCATGGCCTGGCAGTCCTCCACAGTATGATGGGTGCTCTCGCACCACTGGCAGAGCATCTCCTGCTGCTGTCCTGTACCTGCAATCATCCCGGAACGATCGAGTGCTGAAACCAGCTTCGATACCACCTGCACCAAATCAGATGACTGGGTGGCTACAACATGCACACCTCGCCCTGGTGCTCGTCTCGATCTCCTCGCAGTTCCCCAGTCATAGCCTTTCTCTGCCATCTCTTCAAAAAGTTGATTCAGCTGTGGCGGTGTTTTGGTGAGCATATTCCCGCCACAGACTGAGTCAATCAGATGCTTGTCTTCCGGGAAGAGGGCATGGTAGAAGGTGCCCACCTTGAAGGCATCAGTAAAACCATGGTTAGGAAACTTGAGGAAGAGACTGACTGGTGTATCTCTCCCAAGCATCCAGGATGGTCTCATCTTCATCCTGATCAAAGTGGGTAATTTGCTTCTGCAGGTCCGCCGTCTTGGACGGGGGATGATAGCGAGTGAGGAACTTGTCCGCCAGATTGGCGAACGTGGTGATAGAGCCTGTAGGTCGAGTGTCTAGCCACTCCTTGGCCTTCCCCTCCAGGGTAAATGGGAAGTACCTCAGCTGGATGGCATCGGCAGGGACCCCATTTATCTTGATTCCATCGATGAGCTCGTGGAATCGCCTCAGATGTGAACGGGGACACTCCCCCTCTTTGCAACGGAACACCACCGAACCGCGCAGCATGATTATGACAGAGGTTCTCACCTCAAAGTTATTTGCTGGCACATGAGGGTGTTGAATGGGCGACCTCATGTCCGCGGCCCTTGTGGTCCAGTAGTATCCCATAGTCTGCTCCTCGGGAAGGACCACATCATGGTCATGTGGATCACCCATCTCTTCTTCTTAGGCGATTTGCAGCAGTGCTAGCGCCTCCTCTGCAGCCAGTCGCGCCTTTAGAGCCCGCTTGAAGTTCCTGCAGGTTCGTTCAAGCTCCTGGTCTAATGGTAGTACATCTCCTGACTGGCTACGGGTCATGCACTACCTGCAAACAATTAGCAGAAGCAACCCGTGAAGGCACACAGGTGGAAGAGAGAAAATGCAGTAAAGAAAAAGCTAGAGTAACAAACTTTCACGTTTCCCCAATAACCTAGAGGGTCCCCGGCAACGGCGCCAAAAACTTGACACGCTACGACACAACACCAAACTGCGACCAAGTGGAATCGCAGTCCGGGAATGCAGTAAAGTGGCAAGTCTAATTATCAACCCGGGGTCTAGATCTACTGCCTACTCCGTGAGTACCTATTATCTATCCAACTAAGTCGATTGGTTGTTGTTTTAAATAAAAGCAGTAAGAATGCAGGAAATGATTCGGTTTTCTGAAGCAAAGGAAGAGTCACTCGGGAATGAGTCCCCCTAGCTCCTTAGTTAGGTCTCACTTGTAATTACCCTGGATTGATTTACTGTTGATTAAACTGCGGAAGATCCAACAGTAGCTTGGAATCTCTTAAGCTGACCAAGCTCTCTCAGTCTAACTTCCCGGCAGACGACTAGTCTTCACCGGGATAGAAAGCTGAAGCAATAAGCACAAAACTCTACTACTAGAATTGGATTCCAGTACAAAGCAATAGACTGACTAACTCTCGTATAGCCAATCTACTACTACCGAATGATGAAGCTCTAACAACCTAATCAGATTCTATCTATCTCAGGTTGCAGAAGAAATCAAGAAAAGCTTATCAGACTTCAATCAATTCGATGAATCATGCATCATTCGATTAAGACCTAACAGTATAGCAATCTCAAGTCATTACAATCATGATCCCTAACACATGGAACTAGGGCTCTTCATACCCAAGTGAGAGAAGGATTCTACTCCATAGAGAGAGAGAAAAACAGAATACAAAGCAGTCATACTCATAACAATGGGAAGAATCTGCTATGGGATGATGATTTTCACTCCTATGATGACCTCCAAGCTCGATTTGATGAAACCCAGCTCCAAGATCGCTTCTAGGATGCGTTCTTCACACTTTCTCTCTCTAGGGATATGTTTTTGCTTTGAAAAGTCGATCCCCTCACTTGTGGTTCAAAATTGGGTTAAAACCCAGAATTCCCGACTCACACGGGATGGCAACACGGCCGTGTGGCTTACCCAGCTGCCCGTGTGAGTGTCAAAACGCGGCGTTTCGAATAAATGGACTTCAGGCTACCTACATGGCCAGGGGCACACGGCCGTGTGGAATCTCCAGTATGCCTGTGTGAAGCCTCGGCAAATCCCACACGGCCACATTGTTTTCTTACACGGCCGTGTGGGTTTTAGGAGTGCCCGTGTGGCTTCCTCGGCGTCTCGCCATACGTCCGATCTTCGTCCAATCGACCCCGAACTCGCTCCCAAACCTTCATTCACGTACTAGGACCTGAAATATCACAGACAAGAACAACCTAGCGTGAAATCGATCTAAAACACGAGAATCAACATCTCAAACGGTGTAAGATTAGGAGTAAAAACATGTGCAATTAACGGTCTATCAACGAAGTATTACAATCCTGTCTCGGAATGGAAACCCAAGAACTTTGGTGAAGGCTACAACAGTTCTGTTTGGGCTAATATTTGCGAAGTCAGTAACTTTTTTTGGGAAGAAGAGAGTGTTGATCCTGGGCCGGGCTTTGCTATTTCTCTCTGGCACGATAACTAGATCCCTAGAAAGTCGCTGGCTGAATCCTATCCACGTGTTGCTGCTGCTGCTT